CTCGCGTGCCTCTGCGCAGCGACAACCGCCATGCCAGTTTCGCGAGACGCCCCGTCTTGCAGCGCAGAATGGTGATGCAGAGCGCCGAAGGGCCCCGACAACGCCAATCTCGGCCAACGCTGGAAAGGAACCGTGAAAGGACCCGTGTATTGAAAGGAGAAACAGGACAGAAAAGGTTCGAATTTGTTCAATATTTCAGATTTCCGAAGACTTCCAGTGAGTGCAGCATGCTACGCTCGGATACCCCTCCACACTCCACTCCACCACCACCACCACCACGACCACCACCAAAAAGCAGATCTATGTCACTCGCCTGACTTCCTTGGAGAGGGACCGTCCACTGTGGACCTTAGCGGGCGCTTTGCATTTAACTTGTGTTGGGCCCCCTGGAAGGGACCAATTGGTAGGGTGAAGAATAGTCGGATTCAACTGCAGGAAACGAGCGCTCTCAGGTGGGGCTGTCCTGTGTGGTCGGTGGGCCTTTCGTCAACGACCGGGGCTTCAGCAGCCCAACTCATTCGGCGTGCTGGCTCTTGTGTTGTGAGGAGTAGTGTATGCGCCCAGGCGGTGGCGTTGCAAGGCTCCGTTCGCCTGAATTGTCGGGCCTCGAAATCCCCGCGCTCCAGCTGCCCGGCCATTCTTGCATGCCGGACATCACCGCCACTTTCGCATCTCAGAGAATTTGGGCCACCTGACGGATTGCTCATCCTGTCAGCAATCTTCCTTTCGCCGCGCCCAGTTGCCAGGTGACCTCTGCGCAGACAAGTCGCATAAGGGGCCATCACAACAGCAATACCATCCAGATTACACATGACTGCCTCCCGCGTTTGGGCACACTCCCCGTCGCAATGATTGGGATGAGCGTTCTATCGGCGCAAGATTGGTCCCCGTCAACAGCGCTCGCGGCTGGGTGCCGGACCCCCAAGAGTGGCATTACCCGCGCCGCGCTTCTCCCTGCTCTCCCAATCTTCTCGGATTGCGCTTGTCGTGGCCTGATTGGTTGCCGTCTCCCCACGCGCTCGGGGACGTCGGGTGCCGCACTCGAGGCGCTGACGCGGCAACTCCAGGAGCACGCAATCCCAATACCCCCACTTCAGAAGCCCACACCACCAACCACCGCAGCGCAACCAGCACTACACGCCAGCGCGGGCCCTATCAACCGCGCGAGTACCTTCGATTCCACCTTCGAGCAGCGTACGACAATTTCCGCGGCGCCGCTCCCTTGTTGCCCCGCCACCCCGTACTACGGCACCCCCATTCCCAATTTTCACGCTCCCATTCAGGGCACCGTGCGCGTAACGACCGACCCCGCGTGCCGGGTCATCGGCCGCCCACCCCCCCGCCGGCCGCAATGCCCAAAGGCGGGCGGCAAGCGCCCATCCGCGCTACCGGCGGGCTGGGAATCGGCGCCGGCGGGCCGGGGCTGCCCTCTGCCGCAGGTGGGTCCCCCTCATCCCTTGTGCTTCCCGTGTGCTGGTCGCCGGCCTGCGGGATCGGGCGCGAAACCATCTTTTTTCGTCCTTCGTACGGCCCCGTACCACAGTTGGGCTTGTGGTACGATGAGCCCGGGGGGGGGGGGAATTCTTCGTGCACGGCTCGGCGGTGGGCTGCCACGTCTGGATTGCTGCTGGCCCGCCGCGGGCGGATGGGCCCCAGAGAACAACGGGACGGGGTGGTCCAGACGCGTCGGGGCATGCCGGGGGCCCTTTTGATCGACTGTTTGCGGCAAGACGCCGTGTGGGATGCGAGCGCGGCGCCGCGTGGCAGCGTCCAGGGGGCGTAGCGACGATCGCGACGGTCTGCGCGAAAGGATGACCGCAGACGGGCCCCTGGGTGGCCGCGGTGCGGAACCGGCGGGTCGTTGGGGGAGGGCGGTGGGCCCCGGGGCGGGTGGCGTGATCGTTGCGCGGGGGAGGGGGTCTTTGGACGTCCGCGTCGCGCTGCCAGTCGAGCTCGCCCCGCCGCTGCCTGGAAAGATGGGCTGGCCGCGAGCATGACGTCGGCCGACCGCGCCCGGGTGCGCAAGAACGGCGGAAAGGCGTCCAGGAAGTCAGCGGGGATGTTCCTGCCCGCCCCGCCGGTTCCCCCTCCCCCCCCATCGCCCCCGCCCCCTTTTCCACCCTATCTGGTCCAGATCGCCTGGCACACGCAAGAGTTGTGTGCTGTTGCGACGCGGCGAGTCGACATCTCCTGCGGGGTATTACTCGCGGGGAGGCGACGCGGCGTTCTCGAGGTCCACGCGCCTTGCCCGCCGATCATTCCCGGTGCTCTGTCGGCTTGCGCGCCCTGCCGTGCGGCGCACGGCTATCGGTTCTGATTCGACAGGGGGCGATCGACCTGCGCGGCCCAGGGCCGGGAATGCGGGCCTGATTTTGGTACGATGTCGCAGATGTGATAGGCGTCGACTTGGACCGGCGGGCTGGGGTGCCGATTGTGCGAATTGTCGTCCCTGCTTTGAGACTGTCCTGGTTTGTTGTTGAAACGCATCCAGAGGGGAGTGGCGCTGCCGCACAGACCTAGGTGTGAGTTATTTGCTTGCGGCTGCCAAGGGGCGAATGGAAGACCAGACTCGCGTCCGCAGGGTGTTGAAGGACATGTGGGGAACATGAGTTGGATGTAGTGACTTGGGACTGACCGGCTGAGAGCTCCGTGCGTGGTTGTGGTTCAGTAAGAGAGGTGCAATCTGCACCAGGAGGGATTGGCATTGAGGGCCACGACGATCAGGTTTTGAGGTCCCTTGCGCTTCGGAATAAGCTACGCAGACTGGGCTTGTCAGCAAAGAATAGCAAGGTGAGATTGAGGGGAACGTTTGGTTGGCTTGCGGGGAGCTGGCTGTGCTGCAGGCAACTTGCTGGATTGACCGGGCAACTGTGCACATGCTGCATTGCAGTTTGACATGAGTTTTGACACGGAAGCAAAGCAGGAGGGAAATGGAGAAGGCACTACTTCTGAGGCAGGGAGAACACCCCGTAGTAGGGGAAGGCGGCTTCAGGTTGGGCGTTTTTGTACCTTTGCAGCTCTGTGCGACTTGCACAAGTTCCAGCTGTTTCCTGCGCCGCTATCTTGCTTGTAGGTTCTTCTTGCTCCACATTGAGTCTGATTCAGGGCACTGTGCCCAATATAGCCGTGCTAGGATGTACATGTACATGAGCAGCCTGGCTGAATAGGTCTTGACCTCCATGCTTTATAGGCATGGCACAAACAAACAGCCACGAGCTTGGGTAGCTTGTTGAGTTGTGTGTTGCCAAGCATTGGTGTTTTGCACAGGTGGGCAGCACACAACGGCAGATCACCACGGTAAGTGAGCTGCATTTGCGGGGTGCTGCAAGGACATGCTAGTGGCATAAGTGTTCATTTGTGCACCTGTTGCCTGTGTCTTCATTTGTCGACTCCTGGCACTCGTTGGCCATTCACCAGTTCTGCTGGCTGGCTTCAATTCTGTGTTGCCACCCAGGAGAACTGGCTGCTGTGAAATTCCAGTTTGTGCGCAGTGGTCGGATTCTTAGCAAAATTCCCCCCACACGCTTTGTCCATGAGCGAAACAAGGTCCTGTGGTTGAGAATCCTGTGGTTGAGAATTTTGATAGTTCATGCTGCACCGCTCACTGCCCGTTCCATGCTGCATTTGCATCTCTCACACTGGGACGATTTGCTAAGCTCCTTGTTGACGTTTTGCAGCGAGACAGCGCCTGTCTGTTGTCAGCCATCCTAGAGGGTGCCAACGATGAAGTGGAGAGCGTGTTGAACAGCACTACTCCAATCGTCATGGTGCGCTGTGGCACTGACATTTGGGAAGATCTTCTTTGCGATTTTCTTTATGGGAGAATGTGCTACTGTTGCTATTTATTGAACTGCTTGGAGATTCTATGCTGAACAGACCTGTTTCTCTGTTCTGTGTCAGCAAAGCTCCAGTGCACCCGCTACCTAAAATATCACATCTTAACTGGGTCAGAAAAGTCCACATCAGATGAAAGATTCTGACAATCCTATCTGTCCGAATGGAGCAGCAATCATATGTCCAAGTGTCAATGCACATCATTGTCTCATCAGTAATGCTGATTCAGTATAACAAAGAGAAGAACTGTTTGTTGGAGAATCTGGCCCTCCGTGTTTGTCACCTTAGACCAGAAGAGTATATGGAGAAGAAAGCAAGTCACCCTACTGTGGTTGTGCTTGTAGATGTGGTTCTTTATACTGCACCTGTAGTATTTTGTCTGTCCCTGGACAAGTAGATACATTTTGGCTTGGCAGACACCCAGACCAGTGCTGGAGCGGCCAGTAATACTATGTTGGACTGTGTGGATTGGGATTCTTAGTGAACAACAATCAATCGTACATTCTCAACACTCGAGTACAGCTTGCCCCAGATGCCGTTATTGGCCCACAATGTGTGCTGCATTGGTATGCTGAACTTTGCAGAAAGAAAGGTGCATGCACTGAGCATCACTGAAAACAGCATTATGAGATTCACTTTACCATACTTCCAAGATGATGCTGAGCGTGGTGGTACGACGAAGTGGTACCATTATGCAAAATGGTACAACAACGAATTGTACAGGGCAGGAACATCTGCTCCTGGGGATAAAGGTGCATCGTGCATCATGCATTCGTTGCATGGTTTTGCCCCATGTATATTGTTTTGCATTGGGAACTGAGTTTGCAGGACATCCTTTGCATGTGTTTGCCATATTTTCAGCTCAAGGTGTTGAAACAGATCTCTTGAGTATCCGGGGAGATTTAGATCTTATGAAATTTCTTGGCTGCAGTGGCAATGTGCACAGTCATGGAGCTGCACACACTCCTCACTGCTCACCATGAATTGTTTCTCTGTGCAGTGCCAAAATTTGTCCTGGACTCGATTCTGACTGAGGCGCAATGAACAAACAGTACAGTTGTATTAAAATGTGTCGCCACCTTGTAGCCGTGAGGATTGCGGTTCATCAGATACTCCCAAATGTATTCTTGCTGTTTTATCCTTTAGAATTGCCTTTGACAAGACAGAGCGGTGCCCTTGGACCTTGTAGGCAATGACTGGCACATATACATCAGGAACGAATGTTGTAATCTACCAAATTGAAAGCCAGACTTGCCCAGGAAACTTCTTTTTTGGAGCTAATGTTGTGATGTGCGTTGATCGATGCTGTGTGTGCTATGGTATTGTTGCGTTTGAACTTCAGGGACCAGGTGCCATGTGGCCTCTCTACGATGTGCCAGAGGATACTGACGTGGATGGACTCATCCCAGAGCTGTACATTTTCGAGTCTGAACTTGAGACAGAAACTGATCCGGATGTTGGTCCCTTCTACATTCCAGTGAGCCCCATCATTCATGCATGTCCTTGGCTGGCATTGAGTTGTTGCCTGTAATATGAACGTTTTGGGCCATCTTGAGACAACATGGCCATTTGGGAGCTTGTGGCAGACTTCCTGAATATCTGAACAGTGTTTTCACAAGGGAGTCAATGAGCCAGATCCATCGAGTTGGAGAGCTCACCTGAAATGGTTTGGTGTGCTAACAACGCAAATGGTCTGCCACTGTGCCTTATAGACCTCAGCATTTGCACTGTTTCGATTTATGATGTGGAGTACAGGCGCTTGAGCCCGTGCCAGCTGAGGTGCATTCAGTTTCGCATCTCTGCTGATGGCATGGCACGGGATTCTTCTTTCCGAACCCATGTACCCATCTGCCGAGGCTGGTGTGCTGCTGTTGTCTGTTTTCTGCTAAATGGCAAACAGTGCAATGAGAGTAGCATCACCTCCTGACAGATAGTCTGTAAATCTTGGATTCCCAATCAAAACCCAATGGCTGGTCGCTGCCATTTGAACCAACTACTCGGCTGTGTTTGTACTGTCACGAGCATTTGCTTTAACCACTGTGCTGTGCCCTGCATCTAGGAATTACACAACAATTCATGAACCCTCTCCATAGCATTTGTTACTGACAGACTTTTCCCCTACTTGAAACGTGCACTTGTCCAATAGGAACATAGATGGATGTGCACAGTGCAGAATGCAGCTTTTGCACTACCAACGTAGTAAGTGCGGTCAATTTGCTGTTTAGATTCCTTGTCACTGTCTGCTAATCATTTAGATCAAGGAACGCTGAATCGCATCACAATTCTGAATGTTTCAGACTTTTGGCATTGTTGATTCTGTGAGTTTGGATTTGAAAATCGCTTGTGCTGGGTGGCAGTGGAAACTTTGGAACTCCAGTTCCAGACTTGGGTAGTGGAAAAATCCCAGCCTGGCAACTCTGCTGTCTTTCAGTCCCATTCTTGCTTTCCATCAATCGCAAATTCGTAGAAACACTTTCAGGAAGACTTGAAAGAGCAGTGTTTGGCTGCCTTTTTGCAACTTCAGGGTGATGACAAGCACAATTCCATCTACAAGATTGGTTTCAGAATGGTTGATCATATCCTCGAATCTAATCAAGGCATCTGAGGAAAACAAAGTACTGTCCACCACAAGCACAGCTTGCATTGGTTGAAGGCAGAGGGAGCAGTGCAAAGCAAACACTGTGTGTGTAACAGTGCATGAAAATGCCTGTGAGATACGGGGCAAGTTTTTGGTATATTTCTGACAAACCCCACTGCTTTGGAAGCACAGGTGGTACCACAGCAGTGGCACAACAGCAGCAGAATTCAACTGTAGCACAAACAGAAGCATTGGCAGTCAGCGCGAACACAGACGTTGATTTGTGTTCCTCCTGTCACCTGAATAGCCTGAAATATATCAAAGGCAGGTCCTTGACAGTAGAATCGCTCATGTTGTCCTCTTTGCAGGTGCCAGATTATGGGGATAACCAATTTTTCAACATCGAGGAAGAGTCCATGGATCCGCCACAGCGGGAAGAGTCAAAGTCACAAAAAAAAGAGCTACAAGAGGGAAGGCCACAGGGAACACGGTCACGAGAGTCACAAATACAGGCAGGTTTCTCAGTTCAGGGCAAGATTGAATTGTGCTGTGGGTATTGTCTGTGATGCTTTGCTGCAGTTCCAGCATAGTCTTTGACAGCAGTGCTCCAGGTAGGATGAGACACAGCCTTTGCACCTGCAGGGCTCTGTCAGGCACTGTTCACATTCAGTTGTGTTTGGTCATTGTGTGTTCCTGTTCTGTTAACCAGCTGCTGAAATATTGTTAAGTGTTCTGTAGTATGGTTGAATCTCAACATCTTCAGTTTAGGGGTGCAAGGTGGTGCACATGGTTCTTGTGGGGTTCAGCAGAATTGAAGCGTTTGGTGATGGTATCTGGCCATCAACCTAATAACAACAATGAGACCAGTACAGCAGTTTCTGTGCCCTATTGATAGTTGCGCTCAGGAAAAAGACTTGGTACTGCACATTGTTCAAAGCATTGGTGCCCAGCAGTGAAGCCTTCGAGCTTGGGGATGGCACCATTGTCAAAGAGGCCAAGCTCAGCCGCTTCATTTCCTTCTGTCTTACTCTGAAACACTGCTTCGACCCATTCATTGTGTGCTCCTTCCGGGGACCTCACAGAGAGCTGGCAGCTTCCTGGTTTCCTGACCATGATTGTTGAAACTGATCGATTGGCATCAGTTGAAATGTGCCTGCAGATGCTGGAAAGAGGCAGCATGAGGGATCAGTTTCTTGTTCTTCCCGAATTTTATCATGAGCGAAAATTTGGGGACAGTGGCGACAGTGGGAGCTTCCTGGCTTCGGCATCAAGGGAAATTTCCGAGTCTTCGGAGGTAGGCTACTTGACATTTGTCACATGGGAACCATGGCTGACTGAAATACTGGAACTACAATAAGGTGTTCCAACGATACTTCAGTAGTGTATTCTCAGCTTTTAGGTAGCTTGAACATTTTGCCTCCAGGAAATGTATTTCCCCAGCATTTCCATCATTGGGAATGCAGGCCAGTACATGAAAATGTTGTCAATCAGATTAGCATGCACTGCACTGTTTGAATTCTTGTGCCCAATTTGTAGCCTCTCAAGGTGCCTTGTCCCAGGTTTCTTGGTACCAGTGGGCTTCAGTATTATGCATGTGGTTGGAGTATTGCACACAGACATGCTGCAGAAAACGAAAGTAGGTGTGCTAGGCATCCTTGAGGCAAGATCTTCATGAACTTTTGTTTATGCTTCCATGATATGAGTAAGAGCTAAAGCAAATTGTGTCAGTAAGCCCCTTGCATCTTCTCTCAGCGCATCCCATGCTTGCGTCTTGTGGCAGGGTGGTGAAAACAACTGAACTGAACTGCTTGTCCTTGCAGATTCTGTAATGCTGACAGCAAGGTGACACAAATCCAGGCTGCATGTAGCCCGTTGTTCTATATCCTCAATTCATATGTCAGTAACATTCGCTGCGTTGCAGTGGGGTTTTGATGAATGCCCATTTGAACTGCAGTTGGCATACGAAAGAGGCCGCGACGGGTCTGTGGAACGAGATGGCAAGAGCTCATCCACCAGCAGCACTCGACTAGGCGGGCGGAATTCCATACCTGTTGAGGGGCAGCCTCCAATGTTCCTATCGACAATTGGCACAGACATTTCTGAGGTAGGAAGTGCATCTAGACATGTGGCCATTTTGTTTTAAGTCGTATATAGTGTATGGGACTGCTACTTAATATGAAAGCTGCTGGTGTGCAAGTCAAAGAAGAGAGAGCAAGTGTCGCCATCTGCACAAGGCAATGAAGGGAGCATACACATCACCTGAAGCCGATGGACAATTTTCAGATATTTGAAGAAGACACAGCAAATGGGATGTTTAGCTGGCATATTTGTTGACCACCAATAGGATTTGGGATGACCTCTTAAACTTAATCCCTTTGTGCGACAGCATGTTCTCAAGCTTGCAGTGCGAAATGGTCGATTACACACAGTGGTGAGGTCTTTAATGGCAAGGCCACTGAAAGGAGAGCATGATTATGCTGGAATGACATTGTTCGTCTTTGCCAACACACTGACCTTGCAACTCCCATGGCAATGGCAGGTGCTTTTGCCGGACCTGTAATATTGTGTTGGAGGGTATATTGCGGCCACCTGGCGGAAAACAGCAAATGAAAATCCCAATAGCGATATTGTGATCACCCGACATTGTGCAGTGAGTGAAAAGACAGTGACTGGTCATGTGCCAGTAAATTTATTCAAGGAGAATTGGTGCCCTGTGATGACCAGCACGCGGCTTCGATTGCGAAAGGGGCCATATTTTAAACCCTTTGTGAAGCTCTGTGTGGCTCGGAGAATCAGTCTTCACACTGTGTTATTGTCTGCATTGTCGTCAGTCAGTGGAAGGGCGTGCCACAGCGTGTCACTTCGATATGGCCTGAAATTTTATAGTGCCGCACAGCACCACTGTACCCTAGAATTGGCAAAAAGGCCAACCTTGCATCTCCTCACTGACCTTTCTGAAAGTACTGGATCTTCGAAATGCCACACACAAGTTGTGATAGAATTTGTAATGTACCTGTTTTGAGACCATCCGTTGCAGGTGTACATTCTGTCGTTCATCTCCACAGAGGCACAAGGGTATATTTGTGTGCCCATATTTATGAAACTATTGAGAAAGAATGCACCCTTTGTTTTTGCATTAATAAAGTTTTGTCTCTTACCTAGGTGAACGTGCACACATCTGACATGCACTCATTGCAAATACTGCTCTCCACCAGGGTGTGCAAACCACAATCCTTGCTGCTTGTATTTGAATGTGTGTGATGATAACCTTTGATAGCAGCGGTTTTGGTCAGCTGTGCTCCATGGAGGAAGTGCCATGTAGACTTTGCAGGTGGCAGTGTGACTGCATCTGTGGGGGAGCTCTTGCACTTGTTCCTGGTCTCAATACAGTGTTGGAGCAACACACTCAGTATGGCAAGTCCCTGCCACTGCGGCTTTTGGGTGATAAAAATGAGCTCTCCTGGGCTGCACGTGGTGTGTGTGTGTGTGTGTGTGTGTGTGTGTGTGTGTGTGTGTGTGTGTGTGTGTGTGTGTGTGTGAGGCAGCCACGCTTTTGGCATTGACACCATGCCATTCTGTGCCAAGCATCCATTTCATGAGTGAGACAGCAGTCGAGCACACCACACAGTGATGTAAAGCAGCACAGATATGTCCATTTTCTTGTGCAGAACTCCTCACTGAATGTTTGTGGCAGAACACAAGAAACCGATGCCTTTTCACCTGCAGTGCAGTGCAGCCACGTACAGTGCATGTTTGTTACATCTTGACTGGCAACGCATTGTTGGAAACATGTTGATGTTGTTGCAAGGAACGGTGGCTGGTGGTCGTCATAAAGAACAGGGTGGATAACGCAGTCTCTCTAGAGCTGAGAGTGCATGTAGAGAGCAAGTGCTGCTCACAAGATGAGGGTGTCTGAAGTGCTGCAACATCCTTCTGCTTGCAGGGTGCGTGTGCAGCTCAGATGATGGAAGTGATGAATGGGGGGCTTGAAGACGCCCAGACACTGGCGAACAGAGGAATTGGTGCCAACACCAGAGACAATGTATGTGCTGCTGCTGTTGTTCCTCAGATTGCACATATCTTCGAATGGCATGGTGGCTTTGTGCCATGCTGGTATGTCTCACAGTACAGTGTTCACAACGTATTGCTCACCATACTTTGTTTAGTTTGTTTGCTTGGTTGTTCACAAGTTGCATGTCCTGCATTGGGCCAGAATGTCCACAACCAGAATAAGTGACAGTGGTTGATTGCTGGACTGCAATGCATCTTGCATGAAGGGTAGCGAAAAAATGTCATACCCTCAGTCATGCATTGGTTTAACAATGTTGAAGCACTGGCTGTTCATCGTGATGCGAGGCATTTTGATAAGGACTGTTAGTGCCATGTCTGGATGTGCTATCTTGGATACTTGTTGTGTGTCTTGAAGCCTCACTCACTTTGCCTATCATATGAACTTCACTTCATACCTGTGTCACTTATTGGATTGTGCATGGCTGCCCCAGGCAACCTCCAGGAACTCGGTGCGCCTTCCGTATTTCATCAGTTATGGCCATCCTTTTGCATTGTGAGCAGGACCTGGCGCTTTCAGGCTAACTCACCAAGACTGTCGTCATCTACACTTGGGCTGAAGCTCTTGTCTGATTTTTTTGCAGCGGGGACGAACAGTCTTGATGAAAGCAGCAATGGGGGGGAATTTGGAGTTTGTCAATGCGCTGATCAACACCAGCACCAACTTTGATCTGCAGGACAAGGTCAGCAGTGCATAGCGCCACAAAGCTGTTTTCTGTGTGGTAGATGCATCCTGCGCATGCTGATGCTCATGTGTACTGGGCAACTTTGCACCACTAATCAAACTGAAAAAATATTGCATCGGCATTGTCTGAATTGATACTTTGCTAGGAATTAACTGGGCGATGCAGTTGGCATGCCCTGCCTCAGCAAGGTTTCCAACACTCTATTAGGACTGCTTGCGAGTATTGAGTCGGCTTTGCGGAGGGTGCGATTTGGCAGTGCAGTGACACTATGGGCCTGTCCCTGGTTCAATTCAGTATTTGTCAAGACTCCAACTGATGCAGCACCTGTCTGGTGTTTTTGGGAGGATACTTTGGCTTGTGCTTTTGCCATGGAGGTTACTACAAAGCATTTGTCACTGTTGTAAGGCAATAAATGCCATGGTAAAGTCAAGAAACCTGACCCTGTTCATTGCAGTTGCTGAGTGTGTCACAGAGGGATCTAAAGGAACAGTTTCTAGAACCAATCGACAGATATTTACACTGTGGTGCACAGTGCACCGATGAAGAGTTCCATGGGGAAGGGGCAAGACTTTGCATTGTGCCATCTTCTAGGTGTGGCAGCCTTGGAAGACATGTAGCGTGTCCCTCCTTGGCTGGCTTTGAAAGCGAGCTCTTGAGATATAGGATGCCACGATTCCTGGCGATGGTCACCGGAATTGTAACATCTGGTGGATGACTCATGAACATATCAAAAAAATTGTAGCATTGTTGACTGGTTTTCCAGATGCACTGCATGAACAACGTTTAGGCAATGGTGGCTGCATTGTGTGGAACAGCCATGCAATAGGTTGGCAGCTCTGCAGTTACACTGTCTAAGAACAAATGATCAGGGTTCACAGCACTGCCTAGCAGTGCATTGTACTAGCAATGTTGAGTCCATGGGCGCAAAGATCAGGGAAGTTGTGAATAGTTTAAGAACTAGTGTGCTGTTGTTCTGTTGTGCAGTGCAAACAAATACTGCACTGCCGCATACAATTCCAAGCACACACAGTGATGGGATGTCACAGTCATGGTTGTGTGTGTGCACAATTTGCATCGGTTTCTGACAAGGTGATGTCATCCTTGTGTTTTGTTGTAGTGTGGCTGCACGGCGTTGATATGGGCTGCAGTATCTGGACAAGAGGACATTGTATCTCTCCTGCTGGAGAAGGGTGCAGATGTGGACATTCAAAATAAGGTGATCCACGTTTTGTCTTCCTTGTCAGGGAATCCTTGCTGGTCTTGCCAAATTATAGCCATATGCTGTGGTGCATATCAGCACCTGGCCGGGGGTGCCAGAGGCGTGGGCTGTGCATGCATGGCTGGGAGGTTATCGAGACGCACACAGAGGCTATCTGGATCGCTCCATGTTTGTAAACACCTGTGTCCATGCTTGTTTCTTGGCAACTTTGGTTGATTATGGGTTTCCATACCCTTTGCAATGCCAGTGCGTTCATGTGATTTTCGAAATTGCCCATCACCTGCTGATGTCACCACATTAGTTTCACAGAAGCTTGGAGTCGAAGAGACCAGTCCTGCTGTCCAGGGAGTGACATGCACATGTGCCAGCTATGTGCTGATGCGAAATCACCTGGTGCTCACCGTTGTCTGTTGGTGCCGCAGTATGGATCCACAGCACTGATTATGGCTGCCATGAATGGAAAACTGGGGATTGTGAACACCCTGATGAGCAGCAGCCCCAACATAAACGTGCAGGATAAGGCAAGACACCTGTCGGACAGATCCCCTGCCTTGTCCTCCTGTGTTGATCATGTGCTGATGGCAATATTACAAAATGGTGTCAAAAACGTAAGTGATAATTTAGGGCATGGTTGTATCAGCTGGTGAGCAGCTGCAGGAGCAGAGAATGCCATGAAGGAGATGGTACCAAACAGACACCTGTTGAAAATTGCCCTGCATGGCGCAGCGAAGATGATTGGCCAACTGTTTTGCCTTGATGTCAGATGTACTCAGGGCCGAATTCAGGAGAAACTAAGGGATCTGCAGCTGCATTTATTCTTCAATGCAGTGGCGACACAACACATCTGTACCTGCAGTTGCTCTTCATCAAGTTGCTTCTCGCAGTCCTTGTGTGCATAGGCTGTGCTCTTGAAACTGTTTCAACGCATTGCGTTGTGTGGCAGTTCGGACGGACTGCTTTGATGAAAGCTGCAATGAACGCAAAGCTTGAGGTTGTGAATGTGCTCATCAATGGCGGGGCCAATGTCGATGTGCAAGACAAGGTACTCCCCGCTGCAGCCTCCATGTGTATCAAATGCAATATTGTGTCTTCAAAGCGACAGACAGAAATACCACTTGCTGCTGCTAGTAGGAGTTTGTGCGCTGCTATATCACACTTTCTAGAGAATGGCTGCAACTCGTTGGTTAGCTTATGTTAGCTGCAGAGGGACAGCCAGCTTCTTGTGGGTTCTTAGAGATGGCATTGATGTGCAAGCGACTTAAAAAGAGACTGTAAACTCGTTTTCAGGGTGCAGCATACAGAACTAAGCGGCTTAGATGAATCAGCAGTTGCAGTTGCTCGTGGTTGCGATGGTATTCAATACGTTTGTCTGAATGGGCACCGCTTGGCTTTTACCTTCAATATTGCAAAGGGCCCGGTACAGGAGGTGTCTGAATGGGCACCACTTGGGTTTATCTTCAATGCTGCAAAGGGCACGGTGCATGAGGCCAGCAGGCTATGGATTTTCTTGTCAGCAGCAAGGCGCAATTGTTCATGCAAGATATGTGCTGCCTGTCATGCTTCACAGTGAATGTCTGAATCGTACTCCCAGTACTGGATTGGTCAAGGCGCCTGATTCTTTTGTTTGTTGGGGTTCATGCAACAGTCGGGTGAGACGGTGTTGATGAAGGTGGCTATGGTTGGGAACATCGAAATTTCGAACAAGCTCATCAGCTCCAACGCCGATCTTGACTTGCACGACGAGGTACCCCCCCACCCTCCCCTTCTTCCCTTCTGGTGCTCTGTCCAGCTGCCACATGGATGCCTCAAACGTGGCTGCTTTAACATCTGCCTTGCATCGTGGGCATCTGGGGCTGACAGCAGTTGCAGTGCTAGTTGACTGTATTCGAACTGTTCAGTTTGAACAAGTAATGGGATGATGGTGCAACACGGGCTTTCTGTGTATGTTGGCTCCACAGAGAATGGAATGTTTACCAGTTAATTTTAATCTAGCTGCTGCCTGGATGCTCGTCTGTGGCATGCAGCATGAGGCGATTGTGATCGGAATTTCTTGTGATGTAATGATTGTGTGACCAAAGTCTTCGCCAAAGGCTCCACAAAATCGGATGAGGCAAATCGTGAAAAATGTAGCACGTGGAACGAACGAACTTATAGTTCATTGTGAGCCAATGTTGCCGAGCGAACCTTTCAAACCCGCAGGCAAGCACAACTTCTCTGGTGTTCATGTTGATGTACGTCGATTGCAATGGATGGGAGCAAAAGCACCTTGCTCAATATGTGGTTTAGAAAATAAGCAAACTCATTCCGTTTGCCTGGGAACTTCTGTGATGTAAATTGTGCCAACGTTTCGAGGCACAACAAGAAGGTGCGTTGAGCAAGGCAGAGAAAGTGGTGCACATGGATCCCGCCCTTGTGAGGAAGCTGAGGCTCGAATCCACTATACAAGCTCGATCCGTAAGCCTCTAAGTGAAGCGAAAAAGTGCATAAAATATGGAGAGCAGCAAATAGAACACCATC